GAGATATTGGGGTCAAACTGAAGAGCAGAAAAGCAAAGCAGCAGTTCTCACATCTACCAATGCTCAGACCAAAGGGGTTGATCCTGTCCTCGGAGTAACTGCAGATTGCAATACTCTCCACCAAACCTCAAACTCCCTGAGACTGCACTGATATTTTTCTCTAGTGCTGGGATTATAGGTGTGTTTTCCCAAGTGCTGGAATCAATGGCATGAGCTCTGTTTCTCTTTTAGACTGATTCAGTCTCATGTAGGTAGCCCAAGGTGGCCTTGAACTCACAGAAATCCATCTGTCTGTGTCTCCCCAGTGCTAAGATGAAAGGTTTGGCCACTACTGCCTACCCTCTATGGCTTAGTGTATGTGTGGCTAACTAGTGGCTTACCTCTGCATTCTGATCTTCAGGCAAGCTTTATTTGTTAGATTAGAAACCAAATACCACTACAATGGTAATTACTAAAGGATAATGCAAGACATAGCAACTAGCAATGGAAAAAGAATGAAACATTCTAAATTTAAATTACTATATTTGCCTATATTTGCTAGTGCTAATACCAGGAGTGGGGTGCTGAGGCCAGCCTACACTACATAGTGAGGACCTGTTTGAAGCAGCAGCAGAAAAAGGAAGATGAGAAAAGGTAGGAAGAAAAGAATAGAAAAATTATTCTACATTTTTGAGATATGTCTTTTACTATCATTGTTTAGTTGTGTGGCCTTCTTTAAAATAAGCCCTTAAGAGCAGTTTTATGTTCACAGAACAATTGAGATTTTGGTTGTATATAGATGTAGATGGATCTTTCTTTGGGTTTCCAGCTCACAAATAATGACGGGGAAACTTATTAAGAAAGCTTGGCCTTTGCTTAGGTTTGTTCCTAACTAGCTAAATTAACCCTTTTATATTAATCTACATTTTGCCTCAATGGCTTTTTTTCCCTCTCTTCCATCTTGTACCTCCTGTTTCCTCTCTGTGTCCTCGGGTGTCTCTCCTGCACCTAGATTCAGTCCCAATACCTTTCTCTCTGTCTGCAAGTCCCACCTAACCTCTTCCTGCCTAGCCACTGGCTATCCAGCTCTTTATTAAACCAATCAGAAGGTGCTCAGCTCTTTATTAAACCAATCAGAAGGTGCTCAGCTCTTTATTAAACCAATCAGAAGGTGCTCAGCTCTTTATTAAACCAATCAGAAGGTGCTCAGCTCTTTATTAAACCAATCAGAAGGTGCTCAGCTCTTTATTAAACCAATCAGAAGGTGCTCAGCTCTTTATTAAACCAATCAGAAGGTGCTCAGCTCTTTATTAAACCAATCAGAAGGTGCCTTGGCAAAGATACATCA